TTCATTATTGTACTATTTATTTTAAAATTTAGAACTTTTTTACAATTTTATTTCTATGCAATGAAAAATGTACTCAAATTAGTGATAAAACTTTTGAATAAATTAGATTGGAATTTTATTTCCTTTTCAAATAGTCTCTTATAATTTATTTTTCACGATTTTGAGTCTATTTGTTTTGAAATTTCACAATGATCATATGAGTTTGATTTTGTATAATCCGTTATATTTAATCAATTAACTATTTTTTTTGTTGTACTTCTAATGAATATATATCCAATCTTTGTTCAATTGGATCAAAATAAACAAAGTAAACTATATCTAAAATTCAATATTTAAAAAATTATAATTTTATAAAATTCAAACAAGAAACAGGCATAAAAGAATATGAAATCAAAATTTCCAATGAAAAGTTAAAAAAGACCATAATTAGAAATTAAACTAAATAATTAATTTCTTGGATCCACCTTCCACGAGAGAGTATGAGATACGTAATCTTATTAGCCTATTATTTTCTTTCGAGCTTTCTTGATAACGTCATCAAATGGAAAGTACAAACAAAGTACACGTTTATCATATGTGATTAATTAATTATTCAGATTAATTGACTTCTAAAACGTCATTGAAAATATAGCAAAAGAGATAACTAAAGAGTCTTACTTAGTGTTTTTTTTTCTTCAAATATCTTGAATAAACTTGATCATTAAAACTATAAAAGTAAGTTATTTTTTGTTAATTAATTTAGTTATATAATAAAAAACTTTCAATTTTAGATTAGGATAGTTTATTACTAATAATTTATTATGGATTATAAAAATTGAAAAAAGTTATCAGTAAATATAAGAATAAAAAAAGTGTATACACACAGTACATATATATATATATATATATATATATATATATATATATCAACATTTAAAAAATTATTTTTAATTGTTAATTGTGATAAATGAGCGAAAGAATACTATATTGCTACGTATCTAAACCACTAAAACTTAGACTCAATAATCACTTGTTTTCATTATTATAAATAATAATTGAAAAGGAGACTATTCAGAACACACTTCTAGAATCCCATCAATGGAAAGACAAAGACGTATTTTCTAATTATTATGGTCGGTCACCTTGATCTTTGAAAATTGCATCATAGTTTTTAGTCATATTATACTGTATTTTTTTAAATAAATAATTTTTAGAAAAACACATGTATTAATGTTATTCTCATTTTATCGCGGTTTCATAATTAAATATTAAATATTTAAAGGGAAAATGACACAAATTTTAAATTAAAGCCAAGACATCTTACTTTATATATGATATGTTATAGATATATATATATAGATATATATATAATATTATTTTATAAAGTTTGAAAATTTCTAGAGAATATAAAAGTTGTGTAGTAATAAATTCTAGGATTTATATGAATAAATCAATTGAACAAATACATAACTAAAAAATTAATAAACTAAATTTTTGGTTGAATGTTGGATATGATAATTTTAGTGATGTATTTTAACTGTGTATATTTAAGATTTACGCAAGGAGCTTTTGGTTGCAATAAGGGTTATCTGTAACATCCCAAAATACAGTAATCACTATAATTCAGAATTTATCACAATTAACAGTAACAGTAAACAGTCTTTGCGTAATTACCAAGCTGCCCAAAAGAAACAGCACTTATATAAAATAAACAGTACTGTACAGTAACTTACAGAAGTTTCCCAGTGTTAGGAATTTTAAAGTCAAAATATACAAAACAGATCGTACAGGAACAAATTTCTTGGCAAAGAAATATATAAGCGCCCGAATGACAGCCCACCCAAAATAACTACTGCTTGTAATACGGAAAATAACTCCGTACTGCTCCAATTTTACTCAAGTCCACAAGGGTTGCATCCTCCAATTTTCTTTCCCAGTACTTGCGCAAGGGATGCAACACCATTGCTCACATCCACAAAGGATGATCATTGCATTTCGAAAGACGGATTATCCATGGACATTAGACAACACAACGGAAAGCAAGGGTAAAGCTTATGATATTTAATTATACATCATCACCATACATTTACATTCCAATCCACGCAAGACAACATAAAATCATCAGTTCACAATATATAGATACATATATAAAAGGACAGACCGTCGGACTGTATGAACCGTGTAGCTACAGGCGTCCTTGCACCCGAGTGGTGTGGTAACTGTATTACACTCGACAGCTGCCACTCGAGGTTAACACTATCCAAAGTACCTCTAAGGAATAGAGTCTCCTGCCATTCCCACGCATGACTACTCCCTTCTACGTGAAGATGAGTATCACGGAATATCAGGATGGGCCAAGCCCGCTTAGCATGCCCACAGTCATACTTTACAAAACTCAATCATCAATCATATCAAAAACGTCTCCTTGGAACGCTAATAAAATCCAGTTCCAATCATCGTTCAACATATCATTCAACCAATTAAAACAGTTCACTGATTCACATTTTCATCCGTGTTCCACTCTCTTAATTCCACGACCGTTCATTACTAATCACGGACTTAACATGTACAGTACTCCTAAACATCCTCCCGTTTCTGAACAAAAAAGAAACGAACCATTTATTCACTAAACACGTTTCAAACATTAATAATTTGAAAAATACTGATCTTTAAAAGATATGGATGATATTAGAAATATTTTGGAAGGAAAGAATCCAGGTAGAATCCAAAGGATAAAAACGTAAGAAAATGTTTTTAGATAACCATCAATCTATTGATTTCAAAAAAAACCAAAAAAACACTGCCAGTCAAGAACGAACGGTTCATAACAATTTGGACGAACGCCAATTACGTTTCTCACGCATTAAATGGTAAAGGAGAGCGTTTCAGTTATTATTAAAAAGTAACGCACCCTCCTTGACAAGGAACTGATGGGTCAATGACCGAGACAATCAGAAAGAACGCTTGGTATAAACCGAGCTCAAACTTAGACCCGAGCACTTCAGTATAAGCCGAAACACTCTGTAGACGAACGTTCAATTAGAAGGTCGAACGACAATAAGGACGAACGGACACTAAAGCGAACGCTACATGAGGCCGAACGTTCAATGAGAACGACGCTCGACCTTAAGGCCCGAACGTCACTTTTATAAAGTTTTAAATATTAGCTATACTGAGCAGAACGAAACGCTCATTTCACTCAATTGGGGGACGCTCGTTCTCGAGCAGAATTCATTCCAAATGAATGAATTCCAATCTAAAGTCATGTATAACCAAACAACGAACGGTCTAAGACCTACAGTGAACGAACGGTCCTATTTAGAACAGGAATTGATCAGAAGTTCAGATTTTTCACCACTTAGTAGAAATTTTTCCCCAGATTTCCATTTTTCTAACAAACTTATACTTTCATTTCAAGATTTAATTCACTTCAACACATTTGTACATACATTATCAACATACTAATCATTAACCACGACAAAACCATCTCATTTATGCCATATCAATCAAATGACATAAATCAAATTCAACATCACATCAATTCATCAAAGCCGTATCAGTTCATGACCAGATCCATCCACTAATCTCTAGATATCAAATCTTAATCACTCATAGATATACATGTCCAAATCCGATCAATACATTAGAAATACAGTTCAAACTGGTCATTCACACTCGATATAAAAATTTCTTAATGCAACTCAGATCAATAACACATACAGATAAATGAAAACATATAAGCTTCCCCTTACCGGATTTGCAGTGAAACGTTGAACTAGTATGAATCAGTCCAACTAGGGCGTTTCTAACCGTAAGCTCTTCTTACGCTCTTCAACTTGGTTTAACCAAAAGAAACTCAGAAACTCAGATTTTATTCTTTGCATGCAACTAAAAACAGTGTTCCTAGAAATTCTAGAACTAGGTTATGGCTTGGGAACTTACCAGTTACAGGATCAAAAGATGTTCGGGTCAAAACGAAGCTACTGGCCCGTGAACGTTTCTATGGTTTCAGAAAATTGTTTGGGTTGAAAGAGTGAGTAATGGTAGAGAGAAGATAAAGGTCTTAGTGAGAAGTTGGAGAAGATGAAGGTTGGTTTCTGAGGAAGACGAAGTGTGCGTGCAAGTGAGGAGGTTTTTCTCAAAAATCAGTATGTTGGTGGATTCCACGTCAAAACAGGTAGCGTCTCCCAGCCCTGCCACCTGCACCCCAAACCCTGCTTTGGAAGCTTCTTGCGACACGTGGCGTCGTGCCTGCACAGATTGGTGCGTTTTTATGCACTGAATGTGGTGGCAAGTGGTGCGCGTTCAGAAGAATTTTGTGGAACTGGTGTTATGACAGCAGAGGGATTTTAAAAGCGATTTGACTGGGATTTCAAATAGGATAACATGGATTATAATGCGCATAAATCTGGTTTAAAACAGAAATTATACTATGCTATTATACAGGGTTTACAATCTCCCTAACTAAAAAAAGTTTCGTCCTCGAAAATCAGAATTTCAAGCAAAATAAGTGCGGATACAAATCCTTCATGCCACTCTCAATTCCCCCCGTTGAATCTCCAGTTTTAGGTTCCCAAAACTATCTTCACCAAATGAATATCTTTTCTTTCTATAACTTGGCCGTTCATCTCAATGCGGACTGGTTGTAGCTCCAACGATTCGGTCTGACGCAGTTGAATGTCTTCCAGCTCCAAGACATGAGAAGGATTAGCTATGTATAGTCCTAAGCTGAACACATGGAAGACTGGATGCAGATTTGATAGCTGAGGAGGCAACGCAAGCTCATAGGCTACTGGTCCAATCTTCGTTCATATCTGTACGGGCCCTATGAAACTGGGAGACAGCTTCTTTGGACGCACAATCTCTACTCCAGTGATTGGATTTAGTCTCAGACATACAGATCACCTGCAGCGAATTCCAGTGGTCTTCTCCTCCTATCAGCCATAGATTTCTGTCTGCTCCAAGACGTTTTCAACCTGTCTTGAATCACTTAACCTTCTCGGTTGTTTGCTGGATGAGTTTCAGGTCCAGTTAGCACGTTCTTCCCTCTTGAAACCAGCAAAAGTGGCGTCTGCATTTCCTTCCCCATAGAGAGCTTCAACGTGCCATTCCAATGCTAGACTGAAACTTTGTTGTACGTGACTCCACCAGAGGCAAATCTCATCCCATGCGGCCCAATGGCTAGGACACACGTCCTCAATAAATCTTCTCAGCGTCTGGATGGTGGGGTAGTCGGACTGGCCGTCCGTTTGCGGGATGATATGCTTGAACTCATCTGCAATTTGCTCCCCAACTCGCCTTGCAGGGATTGCCAAAACCGAGCTGTGAATCTCGTGTCTCGGTCAGAATGATGCTTAGGGCATCCATGCCAGACGTAACGATCTCATTTATATACAATTTGGCAGAATTAGAACATTGACATCTTCAGATTCACGGCCAAGAAGTGTGCGCTATTGTACATCTATCCACGAGCACCAATATTGAGTCATGATTCCTAACCGTTCGTGGTAGATGAGTCACGAAGTCCATGGAAATGCTATCCCACTTCCATTCAGGAATTTCCATGGTGAAGCAAACCACCTGGTCGTTGGTGTTCGGCCTTAGCACGTTGACATGGTCAGGCAGGAAGCTACAAACGTGCTATATCACTTTTTCATTCCAGGCCACCAAAACGATTTCCCAAGATCTTGATACATCTTAGTCATACCGGGGTGTATGCTAAGACGACTATGGTGTGCTTCCTCCAATATAATCCGTTTCAGTTCACCATCATTAGGAATGCACTTTGCCCATGTAAGGTAACTACCATCCGTTCCAGAATTAAACCTTTGGCTTTTTCTGTACCGAGTGCGACATAGATCTTCCCCGCTCCTCATCCTCACGTTGCTTCATCATATACATCAAACAACATTGCTGATATTCTAAGTTGCAGCACTTGATGCTGTTCGGTTCTAATTCGAACTGCAACCTTAGATCTCTGAAGCTCTCACCAAATCCAGTCTCTTCACATCATCAATGAGAATGTATCGCCTCCGCTTAGAGCGTCTGCCACCCACGATTTGCCTTCCCAGGATGTAGACAGCCAAACTCATAGTCTTTCAAAACTTCTAAGCCAACGCCTCTGCCTCATGTTCCAACTCTTCTGATCAAATAAATATTTGAGGCTCTTGTGATCACTGAAGACTTGGAACGTGGATCGTATAGGTAGGTGCCTCCAAATCTTCAATGCAAACACGACCGCATGCCAATCTAGGGTCGTGTGTTGGGGTAATTTTGCTCATGAATCTTAATTGGCGAGGACGCGACGTACTGGACGTCTCTCCTGCATGAGAACACAGCCCAGACCCTGGTGAGAAGCGTTCACAAGTACACTTCATATGGCTGGACGTGTCTGGAATAATCAAAACTGGCGCGCTCGTTAGTTTCACCTTCAGCTCCTGGAACGTTCTCACATAGATCAGTTCCAAGCGAATGGTTGGTCCTTTCTAGTCATCTAGTAAGAGGAGGCCACTATCTGGCAAACCCCTCTATGAAACGTCTGTAATAACCTGCCAGTCCCACAAAACTCCTCACTTCCGTGACTAACGCGGGCTCTTCCAATCTAGCACTGCTCTCACTTTAGAGGGATCCACTGAAATACCTTCAGACGATATCACATGCCCAAAAACTCACTCCTTAAACAAATTCACACTTGGACAGCTTGCGTACAACTCTTATCTCCCTCAACACGGTAGTACTGTTCTCAAGTGTTCTTCTGTTCGGCATTGGTTTGGGGTAGATGAGAATATCTCTATGAACACAACTACAAAAATTATCAAATAGGGTCTGAATATCGGTTCATGTAACCATGAAGATGGCTGGAGCGTTCGTCACTCCAAATGGCATTACCCAGTAATCATAATGCCCATAAGTGATCGGAACGCTGTCTTCTGGATGTCTCTCCTTCACCCTGATCTGAGTGATATCCTGAACGCAAAATTAGAAAACACTGTTGCCCATGCAGTGTGATCAACAAAATCTCAATTTGGCAAGGGGTACTGTTCTTGATGGTCAGCTTGTTCAATTGTCTATAATCTATACACAGACGACGAGCTACCATCCTTCTTTTTCACCAAGCCCAGGCGTCCCCATGGTGACACACTCGGTCGATAAATGGCTTCTCCATGAGTTCTTCAATTGCTTCTTGAGTTCAACAACTGCAGCGCCATACGTATGGTTGGATGATATAGGGGCTGCCGTGGTCACCAAGTCTATGGTGAATTCAACTTCTCTAACAGGAGGCAACCACTGGTATCCTCATCTGAAAAACGTCCAGAAACTCCTCCACAACGAGAGTTCGTTTTTGTTTCAAATTCCCAGCTCTTGGTCCTCATGTGTCATGATGAGAAAAACAAGCCGCGCCTTCCATAATGTCTTCCTTTAACTGACCGAGTGTCACTCCCAAGCATCCTCATCTTCTTCAGGAAATACTAACTTCTTCTTGCCACAATCTATGAGAATGCGATTGTGTAGTTGAGCCAATCCATTCCCAAAATTATTTCTAAATCTTTGAGAGGCAAACAGATAAGATCACCTTGTACCTACGTCCTTCACCTCAATAGGGCATCTAACACACATGGTAGACGTCCTAACTTCAACCCGCAGCCGGTGTTGACACACCACAATCAAAATTCATCCGCTCACAGCTTTCCCAACTTATCAACGACGCCTTCGATATGAAGGAGTGTGTTTGCCCCCGAATCAAACAGCACACAACAAGAGGTACCAAACACAAGGCAGTGTGATGATGAGTGTACCTGAATTAGCTGCCTCTGCACAGTAATCGCATATACGCGTCAGCATGCTTGGGCTCGTCCTCCCCCTCTAGCCCTGATTTCTGCCAGCATTCGGTGGCCTCAAAGCTCGTCCACCTGTTGCACTCATTCCAAGTGGCCCACTCTTCTACCTTTCGTGCAGAATTTTCCTCCCGTGAGTTGGGCCAAGATGAACGATAGTGTGGCCCTCCACACTGGAAACAAGTGAGTTTTCCCCTGGTGTCCGCAGTGATTAATGCTCGTGATCCACTGCATTTGACTGAACCTGGGCGAGCGTAAGGAGTACTCTCGTGTTGGCAGTACCCCTGGATACAATCGACCCTCTAGTCACCTGTGTCTGCTTCTTTTGTCGTTCCACTTCTGCCATATTTCTTCTCCAATACTTTGGCCTCTTTCCACCATTGCAGGAAATGACCGAATGCATAAATTTGATATCAACACCTTCAGGTCGCTTCTTAATCCATTCTCAAATTTCCTACACTGCCACTCTTACTAGTGGCCATCGTATTAAACCTAACAACTTGTTTGAAAGAATCGTGTTACTCGGTACAGATTTTCCCCCTTGCACCAGCTGAAGAAATTCTACTTCCTTGCATAGCGAACGCTGTCTGGGAAATATTCTTCATAAATTTGTTTCTAAAAACACTCCCAGGTGATAGGAGCATGAGTGTCGGCCAGGATAGCCCTCACACTCGTCCACCAGTGTTGGCCTCACCAGTCAACAAGTACTCAGTAAAACGCCAATCTGTTGTTCGTCAGGACACCTCTTTGCATTATAAATCTTCTCAATGTCCCTCAGCCAATGATCTGCCTCATCAGGAAGACATTTGCCACTGAACTTGGCAGGTGATGCTGAAGGAAACTTTCCAAACTCCATTCAGCATTTGGTTGAGCAGCGGTTGAAGAAGATGCTCCAGGCGCACCTCTATGCAGCCAGGATCTCCATCATTGCCTTTGCGTGTTTTCAGAATTGACACGCGATGCCTCCAATCCTTGCATAGCAGCTTGGTTTTGCTGCATCAGAGTGCGTTTTGCTCCATCAGTGTAGTATTCTGTTGATGCAGTCGTTCAACTACGGTTTCCAACAACCTAGTGTTGCTGGACGTATCGGACTCATTCGGTTGGGGAGGAGGAGGAAGTCTAGGCGCCATTAGTTCTCTGGATCAGAGAAAAACGAGCGTTAGTAAAGTTCGAGAGTTAAAACAATAACTCATTAACATATAATAAGCACACAGCAAAAACGTAGTGCACTCTACCTACAGTGTTCCTTAAAAGAACAAAACTGCTCTGATACCACTAATGTAACATCCCAAAATACAGTAATCACCTATAATTCAGAATTTATCACAATTAAAGACACAGTAACAAAGTCTTTGCGTAATAACAGTGCTCACAAAGAAACAGCCTTATATAAATAAACAGTACTGTACAGTAACTTACAGTAGAGTTTACAGTGTTCAGAATTTTAGCAAAATATACAAAACAGATCTACAGAACAAATCTGCAGAATTATATACAGGCTGCCAGAATACAGCACACCCAAAATTAACTACTGCTGCTACTACGGAACTAATCCCTATGCTCCAATTTTACTTCAAGTCACAAGGTTGGCATCCTCCAAATTTTCTTCTTCCAGTACTTGCTCAAGGGATGCACCACCATCTGCTCCACATCCACAAGGATGATCATTGCATTCGACAAAGGATTATACATGGACATTAGACAACACAAAGGAAATGCAGGGTAAGATTATGATATTTAATTTATACCTCATCACATACATTTACATTTCAATCCACGCATCACAACATACAAGCTATCAGTTAACAATCATATAGATAACATATATAAAAGACAGACCGTCCGGACTGTATGAACCGTGTAGCTAAGGCGTCCTTGCACCCGAGTGGTGGTAACGTATACACTCGACAGCTGCCACTCGAGGTTAACCCTATCCAAAGTACCTCTAAGGAATAGAGTCTCCTGCCATTCCCACGCATGACTACTCCCTTCTACGTGAAGATGAGTATTCACGGAATATCAGGATGGACCAAGCCAGCATAGATGCCCACAGTCATACTTTACAAAACTCAATAATCATCATATCAAAAACGTTCCTCCTTGGAACGCTAATAAAATCCAGTTCCAATAATTCGTTCAACATATCATTCCCCATATTTAACAGTTCACTGATTCACATTTTTCATTCCTGTGTTCCACTCTCTTTAATTCCCGAACGTTCATCACTTAATCAACAGGACTTAACATGTTACAGTACTCCTACCGCCTCGTGTTCTGAACAAGAACGAACCATTATTCACTTAACACGTTTCAACACTCACTAATTTGAAATACTGAATTTAAAAGATATGATGATACTTAGAAATTTTGAAGGTAAAGATCCCAGGTAGAATCCAAAGGATAAAACCGTAAGAAAATGTTTAGAATAAACAATCAATATAAATGATTTCAAAAAAAAACAACCCTGCCAGTCAAAGAAACCGAACGTTCATAACAATTTGGACGAACGCCAATTACGTTCTCTCAGAATTCAATGGTAAGGACGAGCGTTCATTATATAAAAGTAACCGAACCCTCCTTGAACGAACGCTGGGTCAATGACCGAGCACAATCAGAACGAACGCTGGTATAAACCGAGCTCAACTTAGAACGAGCACTCAGGATAAGACCGAACACTCTGTAGAGAAGCTCAATATAAGGTCGAACGACAATAAGGACGAACGACAATAAGACGAACGTAACATGGGCCGAACGTCAATGAGAACGTCGCTCGACTTAAGGCCGAACGTCACTTATTTATAAAGTTTTAAATATTTATCTATACTGAGCAGAAACGAACGCTCATTCACTCAATTGGGGGACGCTCTTCTCGAGCAGAATTCATTCCAAATGAATGAATTCCAATCTAAGTCATGTTAACCAAAACCGAACGGTCTAAGACCGTACAGTGACGAGCGTCATTTAGCAACAGAGAATGATCAGAAGTTCAGAGTTTTCACACTAGTAGAAATTTTTCCAGATTCCATTTTCAACTTTATACTTTCATTTCCAATTAATTCCCTTCAGACACCATCATCATGCAAATTTCAACATTTAAATCATTCCAACCACCAACATAAACCATTCTCCATTTATCCATAATCAACTCAATCATGCATTAAATCACAATTCATCATCAAATCAAATTTATATAAGCCGTTCAGTTCATGACAGATCATCCAAACCAGAATACATATCAGATATCAGTAAACGTTCTAATACTCAAACATCATGTTTTCTTATATGATCTCAGATCATAATCAAACAGTATAAATTAAACATATAAGCCTTCCCTTACCCGGATTTGCAGTGAACGTTTAACAGTATACTTGAATCAGTCCAACTAGGGCTTTCTACCCGTTAAGCTCTTTCTTACGCTCTTCAACTAGGTTTAACCAAAGAGAACTCAGAAACTCAGATTTTATTCTTTGCATGCAACTAAAACAGTGTTCCTAGAAATTCTAGAACTAGGTTATGGCTTGGGAACTTACCAGTTACAGGATCAAAAGATGTTCGGATCAAAACGAAGCTTACTGGCCCGTGAACGTTTCTATGGTTTCAGAAAATTGTTTGGAGTTGAAAGAAGTGAGTAATGGTAGAGAGAAGATAAAGGTTCTTAGTGAGAAGTTGGAGAAGATGAAAGGTTTGGTTTTCTGAGGAAGACGAAGTGTGCGTGCAAGTGAGAGAGTTTTCTCAAAACTCAGTATTGTTGGTGGATTCCACGTCAAAACAGGCTAGCGTCTCCCAGCCTGCCACCTGCACCCCAAACCCTGCTTTGGAAGCTTCTCCTGCGACACGTGGCGTGCGTGCATGCACAGATTGGTGCGTTTTTAATGCACTGAATGTGTGCAGTGGTGCGCGTCTCAGAGAATGTTGTGGCACGGTGTTATTGCACAGCAGAGGGATTTTAAAAGCAGATTTGACATGGGATTTAATAGGATAAGCATGGATTATAATGAGCATAAATCTGGTTTAACACAGAATTACTATTGCTAATTATACAGGGTTTTACATTATCTGATTATAGAAAATGACCATAATTAATTGATATTTATTTTTCTACATTCATTTTATAATTATATAAATTATTGTTTTATTATAATATAATATTTTATTAAAAAGGTAGTTGTAATGCAGATGATTTTGAAAAATAGTAGAATACTTCATATTGAAAAATAAAAGTAACTGAGATAATAACTCTCTTCCAACACGTGATTTTAATTAATTTTATATAGAGTAAGCAACCCTCTTTAGACCAAGAAGACTAGTTATCAGCACATCCACAATTAAATATGTAATTTATGATTATGAATCACCTAATCTTATTAATTACTTTAGTCTTTTCTTAATTCTGGCTTTCTTCAAATGACTGTCGACAAATTGTGCATTACTATGAATGACAGAATAAAAATACGCGCTTATCAATTGTGAGTCAATATTGATTTTCGCCATCAATAACTTTTTATGTTAGTATGCAAAGGAAGACAATGATTGTAACTTACACATTGTGTTTGAAGAAATATTTTCGAGTGATATCTTCATAACACATAATAATTAACAAGTTTAATTAAATAAAACTAAGAATTAGTTTTTTATCAAATAAAAGAAAAAAAAGAAATAATTCAATTTTAATTTTACGTAACATTCCATTTAGTACTATAAAAATTACTAAATAAAACATTATGTAATTGGTAACCACCATACATATAGTTAAATAAGAGATAGAATATTAATTATCCACCAACGTAACTATATTAATATAATATATATACATCACCAGTAAATTAATTACAAGATTTTATCAAAATGGAAACTCTCTTATATACAAACCTAAGAAATTATAAGTTACTTCGCCACTTCTTCTCCATCCATCATAGACATATCTTCATCTAACTCAACTCTCCTCGTAAAGTGATCATAATGTATAAGAAATCACTTATTCACCTCAATAGTCGACACTGAACTCAATTATCCAGATAAATTCCTTTAACGTAGGCGTGCACTTGTAGTGATATTTATGCTCTGTAAAGTTATAAACAAAGAAATTATTACCCTACCACTTACAAGGTTAATCCCCTTCGTGCCTAGGATTAACTGTCAATTGGCTAGGATCTCCTGCTACTTTCACCATATAACTTATTTTACATTATTTGAATTTGAATAGTTATTAGAGTTTAAGATACCTATTTTCTAACCCCATATGTCAAAACATACACTAACAAAATTACAACCAATCCTTCTTTGATCGCTTCAAACCATTCTCATATGAACATCACAACAAGATTAGTCTCACTCATCGATCACTAAATTAGTACTTCTCTGACCTTAAGCTCGTCCTGTGAGTATATTTTCGTCCAACGAGTTTGCATAATTTTAAAGAATATTATTACGCTGTTTTATACCGTTGAGATAGACTTCATATAATTCTAATAATATCTTAAGAAGTAAATTTTAAGTCTAATTCAACTGTACAAAACTGATTTGTAATATAAGATTGCCGTTAACGTGAATCTGTCATATCCTGATATGATTTTATGAGGTAAAAAAGTCATTTAAAAAAATGATTTTTTGTATCTGTAAAGAAAAAAAAATTTAAAGGATAGTGTACTTGTAGTATGTATCTGTTGTCCGGTACTTGGAGAAGATTTTTCTTTAAAGTGCAATACAACATATGAAAGGAAATGCACAGAATCTGTTTGAACAAAAATACTGATAGAAAAATAAAATATACGCCATAAGTTTCATATTTAAATAAAAAATTGAAACATCTCAAACTATCACAAGTTATCATCACAATTACTCAAACCCTGATGTCATTTTCACCTAGTGTTTATGGAAAACTACCACATATTCAACTTATTCATCTCCGAATAACCAAAGAATTATCTTTACTCCGTTTTGCAGTCACCAACGGTAAAACATTCAACGAACGTTTCTTTGATGTAACCCTAATCGGTTCGGCTTCATCCGAACCAATCAAATGTGGAAAATTGAGCTTTGCTTTGGAGCCATGCATTCGAAACGCAGCTCGATCATATGCCAAAGCTGCGTCCTCAGCAGTTTCATAGGTTCCAAGCCACACTCTCACACCATTCCTCTTAGCATCTCTTATCTCCGCCGCAAACTTTCCCCACGGCCTCCTCCGCACGCCTCGGTAGCTCAACCCCTTCACCGGAGGCGCGTGAGTTCCACTCTCGCCTTTGGTGCCACTGCTTTCACCCCCATTTTCCTTTTTAACTGGTACTTTGCTCACCCCACTGCCATTTGCCGGGAACCATCCGGTGGTGGCGGCGGCCTCAAGCAGAGCGCCGTAGATAACCATGTCGTCAGCGTCGTCCTCCTTCAGCGGCAGCTCCGCCCAGTTCTCGGCGGAGAAAATGCTCCGGAAGCTGGAGGTACGGCCGAGCACCGCCGACGCATCCTGAAACGGCATCGTTGCAGGGAGCTCGGAGAGATGAGGGGCATTCAAGTGGGTGTTTGAAGCATGAGGGTTCATCGTGTACAAGTGTGATGTTTCGATAGTTTCGTAGGTTGTGTGGTTTGCGACTTGTGAGTGTTGTGTCGTGTTATATATGACAAGGTTGTGCGAACCAGTAATAATATTCAATTGAACTGTGGACTATGTGGTGGTTCCGTGAAGGTTCTTAATTTAGCATGTGAATTAGGGTTTGTCCCACGTGGGAAAATCTTCACTTTAATTTTTGTTGTTTTCACATTTGTCTTAGAAGATTGGTCATATTTGAGAGTTGGAAGTGAGGAATGTCAAATCATTTGGCTAGTTTTTAAAGTAAAGAATCAATGTCTCCCAAGCTGAACGTGTCTGCTATTTAACTTCTTTTTCTCATACACAATGTATCGTGATTCCAATTTTGCCTTCTATTTTTCTGAAATTCTCTTATATATAAAATCCTGTATTCACATTTCTATATGATAATTTTTTATTTAAATTTTAAAAAGTATATTTTTTTTAAAAAGTAAAAAATTATGTATGGCACATGAATTACCATAGTTGATATAATACTAATGAAAATGATCAAATTGTATGTATTTTCAAAATTGAGAATGTATTTGAGACTAATAAAATATAGAATCTACTTAATATTTTCAAACAAACTAATACGAAGATCCAATTTTCAATAGGTTGCAAGTTCTGGAAAAAGCATGATGGTCACCATACTTAATTTAACAAATGAAAAAACCATAAAGTATTAGGAGTCTAATACCTTCTAAAAAGCTAAAAATTACATTACTTATAAAAAGCATACGTGCTTGATGTGAGATAATTGTTATTAAAAGTGAGATACTTGTCTAGCTTAAAATTACGAATACTTTGAATGAGTGTGTAGGCATTTTGCTTAAATATTTTTATTGTTATTCTGGATATGCTTAAGTGTTTAAATTAGTGTAATTCTTTTTATAGTTAAAATACTGGTGGTTAATATTAAATATCAGTTTAGATTCTAATTCACAAACAAATTATCATTTTATTATTGTATATTTTAATTTACAAATTAATTATAAATTTTTATTCATAATAAAATTTATTTTAAATTATAATTATTTTTAGGTTATAAATTAATGTTAAAATTAATTATTATAGTGACTAGTTATTTTTTTTTGTTTTTATAATTTATTTCTGATTTTCTTGTTGTGAATACTAATATATTGTAAAGGTGTTAATATCACTTTAAACACTTAAATTTAAGCACTTAAATAGTGTTACTATCTTATCTTGAGTTATATATTCACGGCATCTTGCATTCTTAAGTTTTGTTGATGGTGCAAGATAGTCTATTCATCTTCTTGATTTGACATTAGATATAAGTGTTTATTTAAGATTTTTTTACTTAAGCTTCATTTCGAACTGTTACGAAGCAAATCGGATGTTAACATCTGATTTAAAATGTCACCAAAATTGGAAATTCAATTAAGAAATTTATTTTGGATTTTAAAATTCGATTAGGAAAATTAATAAATTTTAAAACTAATCGAATTTTAAAATATGATTTAGGAAACCACCACATCAAAATTGGAAATTCAGAAATTTATTAAATTTCGATTAGAAAAATTAGTAAATTTTAAAACTAATCGGATTTTAGAATCTGGTTTAGGAAACCACTAGATTTTAATCTTATTAAGAGAACCATTATATTTCGAAATTTGATTAAGGAAATAATTAGATTTTAAGATTCGATTAAGATATATGTTGGATTTCATAATTTAGTGAAATCTTAACCTGATTTTGAATTTTGATAGCTTTCTTAAATGGATTTCGAAATCTAATTACTTACTTCAGCCGATTTCCAAATCTGATTACTACCTTTACTACATTTCAAAATTTTATTACTTCTTTAATTTTTTTTCTTATTTTTAGGTTTTTGCTTTTACTTTTATTTTAAATTTGTTAGAATTTTTTTAATAATTTGTTGACATATTATTATTAGTGAAGTAATGTATTGAGTGGTGGGGATGTTATATTATAGGTGGTTATATTGTAAGATGAAAGATTATCCTTTTAGTTTCATGGATTCTTAAGTAAATTCGAGCTTCATGTCAGATTTCTCTTCTTTCGTCAATGAAGTGTACGGGAGAGATAACACAAATAATTTTATAATTGATCAAACGTATAGTCCACCCTGTGCTTGTGAAATTGCACAATATGTCCCTAAGATAGTTTCGTTGGCAAAAATTCATATCATGTGGACTAGATAAAGCTCTTCAAACATTTTATCAAATGAATCGACAGAATTATGCATTCAACATGAACTTGATATAGTGCAAGAACGTTTCAAAGAGGTTGACATTGGAGGAAAAGTAAACATAAAGCAAAAGTTACTTGAAATTTCTTATCCTGTTATGACTACTATGGTACCTCCCTTGCCTAAAGTTAAAACGAAGGGTGCACAAAAAAACTAAAGTTCATCAAACACAAATGTTTATAAACCATGAAACCCCTTATTTTAAGCAGTAGAGCCTTGCATTCCATGAACGAATCTTCATCACGAATTAAGCAAATGCAATCTAAGGCTAAATTTGTGCATGTGAAAGAGAGTGCCCATGTTAAATCAATTGCATCCCATTTGTCACACTTACATTCTTGTTGTTGTTGATGTCGTAGTTGATGGTCATTGTAGTTATATATGCATTGTTGCTATGTTGGCGTTGGGTGAAGAGTCATGACCCCTTATCCGACATGACCTATTTAAAGAACTTAGTTAATGGCATGATGAATACACAAGGCTAGTGGAACACTATGAACGACTAGAGGAACTAAGGAAGTTTTTACTAGTCGAGTCATAATCAATGATACACGTTGCTATAGTTGACACTTTACTTATTATGTCTTACATTTTTCTTTCATAACAATTTGTTTTATTACTTACAGGCTAACAGGGAAATGTGAATGACTATACCAAACATTAACTATGCTATTGCTAATCAATATAATGTCATCTTAGTCTTTCTGTCATATAGTCAGAATTATACAATATTTTCACTACGTAGTACACCTCCTTCTAATATAAAATAATATTGATCAATATGTTCAGGATACGTTTAGGGATGTCATTTCATGCAAGTAAAGTCATTATTCTTTTGCTCTATTATAAAATAAGTTTCATTTACTAATTTTAACTTTACAGATATCAACACCGAGGCTTGGGCATGGTCATCTTTCTTATATAAGTGGGATGCAAACATTTGTAGAGTTAATAGTTGTTAATACCAGTTATATAAATAGACTTGCTTGAGCCCTGATATTTGTGTAATGTGAACAAATGTATAAATGAACATTTACGGTTGTTTCTAATTTATTCCAAAGTGTTCCACTCTCATGCATATAAAAACTCATATCCTCTCCATTAATATAGTAACTATGTAAAAATGAACAAAGTTGTTTAATTATATAAATAAAAAAAGTTCTTATACTTTCCAAATATTACATAAAAAGTACAAATCAATGAAATACATAATATAAGATGGTTTTATTAAGATAATGATGAACGTCTTCCACGTACATGTCAACCTCCTCTACTGCTGGATGAATGTCCTTTAGTCACAACACGAGCTATATGTAAGGCCTCATTAATACAATCCCACGCTATAGTACCCTCGTTCATATCACGATAAACAATCATTGTTTGTAAGACTTTGATGTCGTGCTACATAGATACCTACATTCACATTAGCAAAAAATTAATTAACATTCTTAAATAGCCTTTAAGACATAAACAATGTATGGTTACATACCAACAAACTAGATTCTTACGACGAACTAGAATGTCATCTGGGGACATATTGTCGAAGTCGAGGTTCAAGACTTAGTTGATTGTTGTAGGTAGCAAGAATTACATAAGAATGAGATACACTTCTAAACCACTATAGGTATCACTGAACACAAGCAGATAGAGATGAGACAGGTGTCACATTTACCATCATATGATCTTCAAAGCACAACTAACAATCAACAATGGTTGCTCTGTGGCTTCTAAGACAATGTTTGGCAAACATAGAATCGACCTACTCATACCAAATGCATCTAACAACTATGATCCACCCATAAAAACATATGATGGTAGAAGTGGACCGACTAGCTTGATAGACTGATATGGGATCAGATGATCCCATCATATGTCAGTCCATCCAAATATGTCCTATTACTCACTTTTTTCTAACAAAAAGTCTTATTAAGAGGGGGGAAAGAGAAATTTACCTACAAAAGTCTTATGATGAAATTAATAAGAGAATTATGATTTTTTAAAATAGAGTAAAAATAACGGTTTACGAGGAGAGTTTGAAAAAACCCTCTAATTTATATTTCTGTTCTAAGATTACGCTGTCTTACAATAATCTGGCATTTTATATTCTCATTTAAAGCTCAAACCAAAATGATAGGTATGAAATTGTTTTCTACATGTTTTCCATTACATAGTGACGTTGTTTGTTTTCTACATTAATATTCTTTGAACTTTTATGCAGTGAGAAAAACTTGAAATTGCTATATATGGAAATGACGAGTGATGCGTGGAAAAAAAACAGAGGGTTGACTGAATTATTTATTTGTTCTCATTGCTGGTACTCATTGCTTAAAACGTGTAAAGGTTTCTACAAAATAAGACTGCAACTCTATTAAGAACAATTTAAAAACGTAAAATAAAAAACTGAAATTCTTGTTCGCATATATCCAAATCTTTCACTTCGTTAAATGATTCAGTAAACTGTTTCTAATTTTTAAAAAACTATGTTTGTATAATATTTTCTAAAAATAAAGCCAACAATATCCAACTGAATAGATTCAATATTGAGTTTAGTATTTATCACTATTGGATCATTTAGTCTGGACATAACTTTATGTCGAGTTAACAGATTATTTTAACTTCATTTTAAAAATAAATGTTTAAAATAATTTAAAATTTAAAAATGTTAAAAATGGATATTTTGTAAATTTAGTTACATAAATGGATTTTTTTTATATTTAATAATTTAATATATATTTCG